AGCTGGTAGCAATAGCTGGAAGCTATACTTAGCAGCTGAAGCTCGTAGTAACCGCAGGCAGGTATCTTTTACTGGCTATGGAAAGCAGGGATAGGCAGCAAAGATTGCACCGCCTAGCAGGTCGAGGTTGGATTTATTAAAAAAAAAATAGCTAGGCCTGATAGTAGCTATGGCGTTTGGATGGAAGCTATCTTTTAGTGGCTGAGGTTGTGTGATTGCTCCTTTGAAAACAGGACAAGCTAACACCTTAGAAATTATGCTAAGAAGAACGCTATTATCGGTCTATTGCTCCTTTGAAAACAGGGCAAGCTAAATATCTTAGGGAATTACGCTAAGAAGAAAGGTAGTGTCGGATTTAGATAGCCAGTAGAAATAGCTATGCCCTGTACTATAGCTAAAAGAACTCACTGCAAAAACTCAAGCTCGTCCTGGCAGGCATTGAAGGACTGATGTCACTGAACCCATGTATGTGGAGCATTGTGGACATGCCTGAGCCGGCCTCAAAGTACTAGTTTTCAAAACATGTGTAATGGTCAAAGTGCAATCAGACTCGTCTTATTCACACCTTTCATGTATGTAAACAGCAACGCAGCAAACTGGCGACAAGCGCCCACTCGATACTCAGAGATATGGCTTCCAGATAAGAGTTCACTCTCTGGCTGTGGCGACTCAGCGCCCAATCAACTCACTGTTTACACACACTGGATCACCCTGGATATCCCACACACGTCACTCTGAACACTCGAACACACCCACACACACTTCCTACTAACTACAGCTATGGCAGCTATGACTGCCTCTAACCTATCGCTATACTAACTCCTTCTCGCTCGTCCACTGCGTCCTCCGGGCTCACTGCAGACCTTCTTGCACAAGTCGCTGTGGCAGCGCTTCCGCATGGCTCACGCAGGAATGAATGAATGGCTGGGCGCTGCCTCTTGATTTATACTTCTGCAGGTCGTTGGTCTGGCCCATTTCCCTTGCCCAAAGTGCACACAGTCCCATGCGGTACTTGCTGGACTGACTGGGGACTGGGACTGTTGACTCAGCAGGGTAGACTTCCCCCACTTGCCCACTTGCCTCACCACTTGACCACTTG